AAAAAAAAGAGGAAAAAAAAAGATAGGATCTCAAAAAGAGCTGTGCCTTTTCATTGGGAAGTGGTAGGATGGGAAATTTCTGAAACTGAGTTTGTTACAAAAGAGAATGCTGGTACGAGGAACTGCTGTAGTCCTGTTTTGAAGGGTCCTCTGGTGCATTAGAAAAGACCCTTAGATGTAGAGCTCAGTGATACGGTTTAGTGGAGAACTTGTTAGTGTTAGGTCAGAGGCTGGACTCGGTGATCTTGGAGGTCTCTTCCAACCTAGGTGATTCTGATTCTGAAGTGCATGTTGGATCATCTCTGCATATGAGGATTGTTCTGTTATGATGCTGCAAATGTGAAGACTCCCATTTCTGGATGAATTAAATGAATAACTTGAAACTGTTACCTACTTCTTAGAGGCTTATACATTAGTCTGGAAATTTAATTTCTTATCCCAGAGTCACTCTACGTCATCTGTTTCAAGAGTATGTTTTTTGAGAACTTTGATTACAGTTTCCTCCTGTGTGACATGAAGCAAAATCCATATTACTGAATTTGTTGTAATGTATCCATCACTAGAGGATCAGACTCGTGTTAAAACCCGTATTGTGCAGCACCCGTATTGCTCACTGTTCTGCTAACGCAGACACTGATGTTTCTATTTAGGTAGTCTCTCTTTGGTAGTAGACAAAGAATGAAGTTGACATCTGACCAGAATATCTGACTTATCTTTGTTTTGTGGTATGTGACAAGCACACCTGTCTGCTTTAAATGATTTAGGGGCTTTGGCAAGCTGCTTTTTTTGAAGTTTACAAGGAAGTACATTGTAATGCTAACAGGTGTTAGTTGTTGTTTTTTTTTTGTAAGACTTGGTTGGTGTCCTGCATGTCAAATTTTAAAAAACATTTTTAAAAACTAATTACTCAAGACATATAACAATAACTCTGGTATTTTGAGGGTTCTGGTAGGAACTTGTTCAGAGGACTTGTAATTTATGCAGTTTGTATGTCTTCATAAGTTGTAACATCTTGAGAATCTAGTCTTGTGAAATTTAAAAAAAAAAAAAAAAAAAAAAAAAAAAAAGATAGTTTAGTGGGAAGGGACCTCCAAAGGTCAGAGACCAACTGCCTGACAACTTTGGGGCTGACAAGTTGCAGCCTCTTGAACGCTGATAGGCATGGGGCACCAACCACCTCTCGGGGCAGCCTGTTCCGGTGTCTAACCTTTCAAAAGTTTTTCCTGATGTCCTGTCTGAGCCTTCCTTGGCACTGCTTTGAACCATTCCTGTGTGTCCTGTCACTGGATACCAGGGAGAAAAGAGGAGTGCCTCCCTCTCCACTTCCCATCCTCAGGGAGTTGCAGAGAGCAACAAGGTCGTCTCTCAGCCTCCTGTTCTCCAGGCTAGTCAACCTGAGTGCCCATCCTCTCATCACAGGAGATGCCCTCCAGCCAGTTTACTAGCTTTGTCCTTGTCTGGATGCTTTCAAGGACCTTAATGTCCTTTTTATATTGCAGAGCCCAGAACTACATGCAGTATTGCAGGTGAGGCTGCACCAAGGCTAAATATATCAAGAGAATCACCTCTTTTGACCAGCTGCTATGCACTTTTATATACATTATTCTTCTCAATGATACAAACCAAGTAGGATTATTCCCTTAATGTAACTCGTAATACTTGCTAAAACATGTAATAATCTATAGGGTTGTAGCTGGTGTAGTTTGGAGAATTTCTACATCCATTCTAGGCAGAACTTGATGATAGTAGCTGTTAAGCACTCTTCTTAACAATGTTACTGTCTTGTAGTTAAATTCATTATACAGCAGTAAGAATAACCGAAGGCTGTAAATGCAGGTTTATATGTACAAACTTGCTGATGAAACCTGAAGTTTATCTTGTAACTATTTCAAGATGACATTAACAACAGTTCATTTCCTGTTATCTTTCCTACCTAGATAACTGTAGGAAATGCTCAAAGGGAATTCACATGGGGTCCAGATATTGCAAAGACTTCATAGTCAGATTTTGTTTTCTAGCATGGAGTTGCCTCAGTGCGGTTCAGGAATGTATAATTAGGGAAACATAATGAAATGTGCTGTTGACAGAGAAGTATGTTTGGCATCTCAAATGCTGACCTTTTCTGACATCATTAGACTTCTGAAGCTCTGATACAGGGATAGCAAAGTGGCTTATCTGGGTTTATTAGTTAACACTCTGACATACTATGTTTTTTGATTGTATTTTAAAATGCATTTGCATGGTAATGGCAATGTTTTCAACTTCCTTAAGCATTTGTGGCCACTGCTCAACTAATTTGTCATGTTCATTAAGGTTCCCACAGTAGGGGAAAATAGTCCTTCTTCGTACTAATTTTGAAGATCAAAGCATGGCATAGAAGCTATTTATCAACTAACAAACTGAATTTGCCTCTCCAACACCTACATTTTACAAAATTGCTTTAAAAATACACGTTGCTTAAAAACATTTGAGTTCCTGGAAAAATGTAAATTAATGGATGTAAAAATGAGTGAACATCTGCAGTCTGTTCCCCTGAATGGTAAATATGCATTTTATTCAAATTACTTTCAATTTGTGAAAGCTTTTCTCTAGTAATTTATTATTCAGTGTCCTGATATTCTGTGCTTTTCTTCTGTTCTTTTCCTGTAAATAGTTAGAATGACATATGTAAGCAATATTATTCAGGTAGGACTTCTAGAATATAACAAAACGAGGTGGTTTTGTCTCAAATATTCCACTGTCCCTTGATACTGCACATGTTTTATGAAGTGAATGTTAACTTCTTGATTCATATCCTCTCTCCAATGTCGAGAAGTGCATTTCCCTGCAGAAATGGAGAATGTTTATTGTTCTGTCAAGAAAAAAAATCTTAAAATATCCTTAGCTTTTTCCACCATTTGTAATCAAATAGAGGAATACTTTGTGAATACTATAGGAACACTGCAGAAGAACATTTGGGTCAACAGTTCAGCGATGCCTGTCAATGTTATTTGTTTCTGACATCTCTGACAAAGCAAATCTAACATGATTAGCCAGCGAAGGGATAGCTTTCCAATTGAATACAGTTTTGCGGTGTGTTGATAGTCTGTGTACTAGTGTACAGTTCTGTTCTTGGAAAAGAAGCAGGTGTGAAATGTCTGAATCTAATCCTAGGCCTTAAAGCTATGACTTCTATTTGCAGGATTTCAGAAAATAGAGGTCAAGAGCTTTAGAGCTGTGTAACCATTAACAATTTCCTTAGACCTGCTTCGTATTATGATCACTTGGTATTAATACGTTTATTTATCTTTGAACAATCAAGTGAGAGAGTCTGTGTTCTCTAATCAAGTACTGCATTTTGTCTGACATAGCTTTCCAGCAGCATGTTGCTAGCAGCATCTGGCTACTCCAACAGAGTATTTTGCAGCCTTGACCTCTTGAGTTTTTTTTTGTACTGTTGGTGTTCTTAAAGGAAGAGAGGTTAGTTTATTTCTGTCTCTTTCACTGTCAGTTGACTTCGCTGTCACTGCAGTTGTTTTCCTGTAATACACCTGACTAATTTTTTGGATGGAGTATTGGTACTAATGTTACTGCATTTTTCTGTTATTATCTTATTACACAATGTGATGTTTTGTTTGTAACTTCAGAAACAGCTTTATATATAGCACATTTTTAAAGACAAAAGGCAGCAGCGCTTGGTACTGATAATTACATATTTTAAATTTTGTTGGCCGAAAAAGCAGCTGGGAGCTGTAAGTTCTTGTCAAAACCTTGGGACTATTCCAATCTCTGGCTGACAAAACATGTTAAGGGATATAGGTGTTCTCTTCCTTCTGTTCCACACTAAAACATACTTAAAAGCTAGAAGCATGATCATGTACTGTTTCTCATCTCGTTAAACAGTTAAGTTTCTTGTTTTTTTTTTTTTTTTTTTTTTTCTGAAGTACTAGGTGCCTTTGGTAACATAAAGAATGGAGAGGCCTCTGTATTCCTTCGTTTTAGAGGGGCAATATTTGTCCTGAGTCTGGCTTTGGTTATTATTTATGTTGAAATAAAGCAGTAAAGTAAATCTGAATCTGAAAATGGTGTCTGGACATGTACATTTAGTGAAAAGGAGTCAAAGGTATAAAGTGGTGGCTTTCCCCTGAAGGATTCAGTAGAAGAAAATGTGTCAAAGTTAATCAATTATAGCTTGCATTGGGTTTTTGTCTCTTAGTGTAGGATGGGTGTGCCGATGCCGGAGAAAATCTGTAGCTTTTCCAGATTATAAATGGCTGTTCTTATTAGTATTAAGAGTTATTCCCTTGTAACAGTATACAAGTAAAGGAGATTTCCATCCGTATCACAAATAGGTGTAGAAAACAAGTGTTTGGTGATGGCAATGTGTTCACCTTGGAAAATGTGAAAGTACAGTTCTGCTCAATAATTTGCTTAGAAAATAATCTTCCCTGTTCTTTTTCTTGCTATTCTAAATAATTTGTTTGGAAAAAGTGTTTAAAGTCAATTTTTAAGCCTTCCATAAAGACAACACGTAAAAGAGTTGGAACACTGTTCTGGGATTTAAGATAAGGCTTAAACCAAGATACTATAGGTTCCTAACCCACCCCTTTCATTTTCATGACATGATGATCTTTTGATCAGTGTGATGTGAGAGCTGAAACAAGGTGATTTAACATCTTCTCCTTATAAACTTGTCTTTGAACCCTAAGTAAGTAAAATAATACTCTGCGTCCATTGTAAAACTAAATTAATAAATAAGAAAATCTTGGGAGCATTCCATAGGTACAAAGCATAAAATTGTTTAAATCTATCCGTTACTGTACCAGATCAGTAGGAGGGTTGTTAGTTTGTGTAGACAGTCTCAGGTAGGGCTGATCTTGTCTCAAAAGAGAGGAAGCTGCTGACAACATCAGATACGTATACAGAAGAGATGTAATAAAGCTTTGCAATCAACTCTTTATGGCACTGGAATAAATGAGGTATCACGAAAACAGCTCCATCTGCCATTTTCTTTCTTGTAGGATATCTTGAATAATCTTGATTCATGTGATCTTGAAGATGATGATCTCATGCTCGATGTGGACCTACCTGAGGACCCACCTCATGACAAAGGTAAGTAAAGTAGCCAAGCAATCTTACTGTGAAAGTGCAGTATGGGTTTAAGATATTTCTGGATTTCTTTGTTCTAACTTCTGCTTTAATAAGATGCACACTTTCAGTTGGTCTTTATTTAGGTAACTTTCTTGAGATGGTTGTCATTTTGTAGAAGGAAGAATTATCGCCTAATATATTTTATATGCTTTAGGGTAACAGCAGTCTTAAGTCTTAAGATGCAATATTTTGAGGAGTCTTTTATGTGCTCTTGTTGTCTGTGAGAAACCTTTTCATGGGGAAGACAGATGCCACTAACATAATAAAAATTCATAATACAAATTTAGACCAGAATTAACTGTGTCAGGCAAATTAATGTCACACTTCTTCAAATTCTAGCCTCCTTTGAGGCATTTGGTTTTGGTCATTCCAACTTAATAACAATTGTCACTGGTTGTGAGAATTGTCAGTATCTTCAGATGAACAGAAATGTTGGATGTGGACCATGTGATATCCTACCCTGTCTAAACACGCACTGAAAGAAAAAAGCTTTGCCTGTTTTGCGTACTGTTCAGCTACGTGATGAAGTATGGGGTAATTCAGTTGCTTTGACAGTACGTTTGAGTTCTTTGGATGAAGATTCTTACAGGTATGTTAGCTATGAAGCCAAATTAACATTAAAATAAATAGTCTGCCACCTACAACAGTAGTGGCACATATAAAGTGCAATACTTAACCTTTTAAATCTCAGTAATTTTTCCAAAGTACTTGTGTGAAAGGTGCTTATTGATGACTATTACTGCTGTGCTAGTAGTCAACTTTTCAACCCAGACATTTAAGTTTCTTTTTAATTTCCTGAATGAGTAACAAACCAAGCATATGTGCTAACTCACAGTGCTTGTGGGCATGCACTAAGCATTCTTTCAATAATGGTAATAGTTATCCTGTTGGAAAAACTAAGAAACAATTGTAAGGGACAGATCAATTTTTTTTAAAGTTTTCTTTTGTTTAAGAGGCATGCAATGTATCTGCATCAGTAATTTCATTTCAAACTAATATAAAAAATGTTCAAAATGTGTGCTTTTGAAAGGTGAAAGCTTGCCTCACAAAAGTTAGCTTGCTATTTAATCTGGCTATGGGTGAAATACTGTGTTTGCCTCACTGCTTTCTGAATTGCATCAATATAATCTATACTCACATTGCTACAGCAAGTATCTCTAGTGTTTACATAGCTGGAATATGTCTTGTGACTGCAGCAATCTGTGTTGTTTAAGCTGGTGGTTCAGGTGGAGAAACTATTGCTGTTTGGGATCGATTTCAGATAATTACTTCTGTTCTAGGCATTTTTTTTGAAGTAGGTTTCCATATAAAATTAATGTGGAATGAAGTGGGCATCTCTGCTATAATCACTTCACTGATAAAAATCCAGTGATTTCAAAATAAGCTCTAAAAAGAGAAATTCAGACGTCATCTCATGCTTCCCCTTAAGCAAACATGACTAACCACAAGTGAAGTTTGTTCTTTGCTAGTATTCATATGGTTTTCATTCAGTGTCTCAATTTATTTTCCAAAGCTGTGTATCATAACTACCAACAAACTTACTGAGGGCTTATTTTGAACTGACCCGTTTGAGCTTTCATGTAGTGTGAGCTGTGGAAATATGCCTCTAAAGGAAAACAAATCTTTTGTTATTTTAGCTGTACAAGTTATTTTTTTACATAAACATTTGGTTATTGAACTAGTTGATTAAAAATGGAATTGGAGATAGGAGTATTATAACACCTAGCAGCACTTTTTGCCAACCTTATTTCCGTACTTGTGTGCAGCTTCACTGATGTCAGCCTTTTAAGACTTTCCCAGGTCCGTGGAAACTCTCCTTGTTTCGTTTTGGAGTGGAGGATGCCGCTTGGACACTATTTATAGCAGCAGTTCTAGTTCAACAAGTATGCAGTGAGTGAGGATGGCAGTCTTAAATCACAGGGTAAAACTGGGCTGCCTTCCCACCAACACGCAGGCTGGGAGCTCAGCAGGAAGGAAGGCCTGTTTATGAGCGTCTCATACGCAGCTATGTCTGAGTAGGCAGCCGAACAAAACAATGTCCTCTTGTGTAGATTTATTCTTCTAGCAAAGGGCTGACAATGTGAGGAAAAGCTGGTTGGGTAAGTGAAGGGGACGGTGCAATGGCAGAATAGCAGTTTAGGACGTTTTCACCGTGCCTGACTGCACGGGTAGCAGTTGTTTTGGCTTTGTTTCTAGTGGTTTACAAGCTGTTGCCAAATATAGCACTTCTTTGCTCCAGAAGTTTGTGGAATTTGCTTTGCTTTATAGAAGCTAGTGTTTTAAAGAGATTTTGTTTGCTTGTTTTAAATTTTTTGTCCAGGTAAATAAAGATTAAAATTCTCTGAAGTTTGATCACAAGACAGATGACTTGAGTGCGAGAGATATAATTTAAGTACTGAAACTAGTCTGTCTCTTTTTTTTTTTTTTTGTAATAAAGTTCTGGCATTTTTCTAAAATACCATCTTTGTGTTTGTTTTGTTCTAACTTCTTAAAATCCTAAAGATACTAAGAAAGAAAATAACATGTTTCTTTTATTCTGTTTTTCTTCCCTATAGCCTTGTCTCTTCCAAGTGATTTTCTTCTTAGACCTGAAATATTGTTAAGGCTGAGCTCTGTAGTTTCTGCTTCAGGTTACTTTTATTCTTGTAACAAGTTTTATATGCTAGTAAAAGCCTGAGTTCATTACAGCATTCTGCTGGATTCTTCTAAAAATGCTTTCCTTTTTTTTGTCTGTTTAAGAAAAAAACAGAACTGATTTTACATTGCATCCATTATCAGCACATAATAAATTAACAAAAAAGACACATGGTCTTGGGAACAATTTTTTTTATTTTTTTTACTTCCTACTCTATAGAGGAATGTGAAAATATGAGCCGTTATGATAGACAAGACAGAAATGCTAGACAACATCCAGAAGGATTCTGGAAAAGAGCACCACAGCAACGATGGAATGCACAGGATCACTATCATCTTGGCCATACTGAGAACTATATTCATGGAAAAAATGATTTGAACAGGTAAAGACTTTTGCAGCCTTTACCCTCATTAAAATACTATGATGAGAAATCTCTTTCGTATCAAAGGTATCAAGTGATGCTGAATGTAAGACATTTGCAGAGTAGTTTTATTTTATTGAATAGCATGTCTGAGTGGGAGCATCCCTCAGATTTGTAATGATTTCCTTGTAAAGCTATTTTGTTGTGGGTTTTTAATTAAAATACAAGTGTTCTGCCTTGAGCTGGAACGTACTTGGAAATGTTCTGATTTAATAGTTGTCTTTATAGGATACTGTAATGTTGTCTTATTACTTGCATGTTTTAAATTTGTAGATTTTTTTCCTTAACAATTTTCTTTTAAAATACATGTAATCTTGTACCTTGTACAGGCTATAGCTTGCATGACTGCGTTTATAGAAACTATTATGAGCAAACTGATTTTAGGGTACTGTAGATGTTGGTCTGTGGATTTGTGCAAGCGGGTAGGAAAGTGAAATAGCACTGGCATTTTCTGATTTATTTTCCTCTGTATACCACAGTATGTAACTATAGGCTATGTTATATAATTTATTTTACTAAATGCTTCATAGCTCTAATTTGTCATCCCAGTGTGAGAGTATGCATGTAGATACATACACGTATATATTTTCAGGAGATCAAACTACCCCGAGTCTCCTGTTGGTCACTTTGAAAGCTATGGGGCACCAAATTGTTACCAGGCTCCTAGACAGCTGGTGGGCTTACCGGAGAATACTGTGATGCTTGACGAAATGACACTTCAGCACATGGTCCAAGACTGTACAGCTGTGAAAACTCAGTTATTGAAATTGAAAAGATTACTACACCAGGTAAGCTGTTTAAATGGAACAAAAGCCAAAAAGTATGTTGGAGAGTTGTCTCAGTTGGCTTGTCATCTGGCCTTATTGAAGTGTTTTCATTTTCTTCAGACATTGATTTAGTGTTTAAGAGTGTGCTTCGTTTTGCTATGTAAAATAGTAATTTTTTGCCTTTTCAGCACTTTACTGAATGCAAAAACATTACGTATTAGTATTCTGCTCCTCTGTGGAAAGAATAGTAAATTAAATCAGTGGTTGTGAAGACAGGCTTTTATTTAATAAAGTCCTAGAAGGCTAGGAGTAATGAATAAATAAAAATCTATCACATTGAACAAGCTTGCATTCAGCAAGTCAGTGTCTATAGCTTCTTCCTTTTAAAACAAACAAACAACAACCAACCAAACAAAACAAACAACAACAACAACAGAAAACCCTTTTCCCTCCTTTTCATCATTTCTTAGTGTTTCAGCAGGAAGCTTAGTGCATCCTGCTAGGCCATCTATATTGGAAGTACTAAAACTTAACCTTTCCAGTGTGTTGTCATAAGCTTTTAAGGAGCTTTTTCAATTTAAACTCAAAAATCCACAAATTGTTGGGAGTTCATAAACTGCTGGATCATTCTGCAAAAGTATAAGATTTCAGCTGCAAAAATCCCTTTGTCTTTAAATACACGGAAATCTATAGGACTTCCTCTTTGGATGCATTTACAGATCAGCATGTAAAAGTGTGCGTGATGTTTTCTTTAATATTAGGTTTATTGTTGTTGCTTCCTAACAGCATAATATAATAGAAACAACTTTGTGCCTTAGAAGACACTAAGACAAAGCACAACAAAACAAAAAGCAAAATATCAGTCTTGAGGCTAATTGAAGGATATGACTCTGCCTTTTAGAAATGTGAATATTTGCTTCCTATGGTAACAGAACACTGGAGATGTTTTTCCACTGACAAAATCAGAAATACTATTGTACAAAGTGTCACAGAGGGAGGATGTGTTCTTAAAGCCTAAGTCGGAGAAGTAGGCTGCGTAAACTGTGCTTCCCAGCAGCCTTGAGCGAGTGATAAGTACCTGAGATAACAGGGAACTTCTTGGCCAGAGCTCTTAATGCCTTTAACACAAGGGCAATTAAACAACTAGACAAATGATCTGTATACTTGTAGCTCATTGTGTAAAGGTGTGCAAGTTATAGCCAAATAGCACATGGCCTTGCAGAATGTTGTATTTTAAATCTTGTCATAGTTTATAAGAGTCAGAGTTCTCTGAAAAGTGTTAAAAGATGAGCCTTGCATCAAGCCTTGTTAAAAAAAAAAAAAAAGTTACAGAAGAGACAAGTAGCTACTCCTAAGGTGTATGTTCTTTAAAATTAGTTGCTTCTCTAGTTAAAAACTTGATTTGTTTTGCAATAACAGCAATGAATAAAAATATGGCTTTTTTTTTTTTGCTTAAGAATAACAAATATAACTTGAAAACATTACATGAACTTTAGCAGTCTCAACACTGAACTAGGACTTGATCTCAGTCAGGCTCATATAACAAGCTGCTTCTTAAAATACGTGAAAAAGCAAGATGCAGAGTGAGAGCTCCTTTCAAACACTAGCTTTAGTAAAGGATGCAGAAGTTATGTCTTTGCTTCATCTATAATTATACAAGTGAAATACGTATTTAATGTATATTAATGTATTAATGAAATATATACATTTAAATATATAGAAATGTTACCTTTTTTGAGTTATTTCAGCAATAGTTCTCATTTGGGTGAGAGTAGAAGTGTAGTCAGGTTTCAGGTGTGAGGAGTAGTGTTTTTTTTGTTTTTTTTTTTTTGTTTTTTTTTTTCTTTTAAGGCAAGATGTAAATAGACTCGTATGATTATCTAACCAACTGTAGCATACCATGCTACAGCACGCAGCATACAATGAATGTATACCTAGCAGTCTCCTGAGGAGGCTGGAGGTGCTGTACTGGATTCACTGCTGCGGCTGTAGCTCACATAACCGTATTGAAAGTATTGTCAAGTAACAGCTGCAGCAGCATGGGATTTGTGTTGAATTCAGAGTTCTACCTAGAAAAATAAGTAGTTATTAGAGTAGTCTGGCCTTCTCTGAACTCTGTGAGCAGGATAACAATACCAGCAGTACACATACTGTCTACTTGCTTCTCACATAGTGCCATCGTTGTATCTTAAAGCAAACAGTGAAATAGAGAATCCTTATCTTCTCATGCAGGAGTTTTTGAAATTTTCAGCATGGTAAGTGTAAACTTCTGATTCTCCAGTAATGTTATACCAGCTTGTATGGAGAATATACCTTTTTGCACTAAATGTGATTGTAATTATTTATGGAGAGATGTTGAGATACTGGTGCATGTTCTCACTTAAAATTTAACAGAAGCACTTTTTTGTTGTAAGCAGTCTTTAATTAACATCTAAATTAATTAACATGCCTATTAAATATTGATTAAGATAGTTCATCTGCATGCCCAATAGTAAATGTTTTATTTTGATCTTAAAGATTACTTCCTTCCTCATCTTCCTCCTGAATTTCTTAAACTTGTTGCTCTAGCTTGAGCAAAACTCATGTGTTAGAGCTTCCTTACTTAAATAAGGATTTTATTATTTAAGAAGCACTGGAGCCTTTGATCTAAGGAAGGACTGGCCATGCTCTGTAGTAATTCCTCTCAAGAATGGCAGCAGAGATTCCTACTCAACTTGTCTTATCTCAAATAAGCACTTATGTTTTAAGGAGGACTAAAACATGAAGCAGGTTACAGAACTGTAAGATCTGTGAAGCCCTTTTCTGGAGTGGGCAAGGCTTATAAAAATGTTTCTTTCCAAATTAATTTCCTTTCTATTCATGAAAGCTGTTTTTCAAGCACAGATCTTCATTGTAGCATCAGATATGACTATCTGAAGCATATGAATGGAAAGATAAAATCTGTAGTGCAGAACTGTTAGATGCATCTATATTTTTGCTGAGGGATAAGCTTCATATGCCACTTGAGTTCCTTTGAAATATGTGTTGCTCTTTACTTTTTACATCTGCATTTATTTGTATGTTTTTCTTAACCCTGAAGTAGTTCATCTCATTGATTTAACTATTTGACAATTGCATGTATGTCAGCAACTAATTGGACTCCTTCTGAAAATGCATGTAAAAGATGTTTTTTCTTGGAAGCACTTTTTTCAGGAGTCTTGTGACCTTGGAACATCACTTGTGTGATGGCTTAGTAATTATTCTGAAATGTTAACATTTTAACCATTATCTGAATTTAGGAATTTTTACTCTTTATAAAAGCAATAATTGTCTAGTTAAAAGATAGTCATGAGGTAAAAAAAAAATAAATAAAAATATATCTTTCTCTGTTAAAATGGTTTACACGAACTTATTTAATATGACATACCAGATCTTCCACAGCAGCTTAAAAAGATGTTTAGATGGAATTTTGAATTGTAAGATGATCATTAATGGATTTTGTGTCATCTTAAGAAGGAAACAAGTAGTTCATTAATATTTTGCTATACTTTGGCTGTTCTCCGAAATAAATTCCTAGCTGGAACATGCTACTGTCATGGAGACGTGGGGATTACTTCCTTGTTACTACTCAGCAGGGGAACTGCAGAATTTACTGGAGCCTGTCATTTTTTGCCTTTGGTGTGTATTTTGAAACTGTAAGCTTTTCTAAGAGACATGAAAAAAAACGTATGGGGCACTGGTAATACCTGCTAGTTATTGCTCTAGGCTTGTGCATATTGGGAACTGGTGATGATTACCATTTATATACCCTGCAGCCTCTTATTGCTAATATACATGGAACATAAACTGTTATGCCTAGTCACTAGAAATGACAACAGAAAAAATGTAGATTTGTTTTGAGACCTTTGTTATATTTGCAGAAACCTCGTGCTCAAATCAGTTTCAGGATGCAGTCTGTATCATGTAGCAGATTTTCCAGTTGCCAAGTGAATTTTAAAGGATCCATCCAAATGCTTATCTGCTAACTGTTCTCTGAAGTCATTGCTTTCTACTTTACATGAAAATAGATTACAAATGGCATTGATAGAGTAAGATCTTTGTCTAACTTGAAACATTTTATCAATATAGTGCTCTGTAGGGGAAAAAAAAGTGCTGATTGGAATTCGCAGGATTTAAAACACAACCCAAAACGTAGCATTACTAATTTTATTTTTATTACTCTTTTCTGGGGGCATGATGGAAGCATGGGTGGAAGAGTAATAGTCAGAGCTTTCAGCTTCTTCACAGCAGGGACTGAATTGAAAACAAAGAAAATAAATGCAGGGAGCTGAGGTTTGAGGAACTAATGCAAGGCATACTCCAAAGCCTCAAGTAATTTTAAATATGTTTAATCATGCTATATTATGATAAAGTGTAGTGCAGAGGTGATCAATAAGCTGAATAATAGTAGATGGTTAGGCAAACTAGTTTAAATGAAACCAAGTCTAGCCTGGGTTCAGCCTGTTGAGGGAATAAACTGAAATTTGGTGAGAGGCCACTCAAAGACAAATGAAATAAAATATATTATGAGTCTGTGAGAATTGGTGGCCAGCCAGAGAGTGAAGAAGATGGGGCAGAATATGTATGATGTTGTAAGAAATAATTGTGTTTACTGAACTGCCAATGTAAGAGGAAACTGCTTTGTTTTCATGGTTAAAATGAGGTTGCACCAAGTAAGATGTGCCCCTAGGTTGACAAGGTCTGAACTAACTTCAGAAAGCTGTGGCTAAGGCCAGTTCATCAGTTTAATAAAAAAAAAAATACTAAATGATTAGGAGTCTGTCTTGAAGTAGGTATGGGTGCAGTTTTGGGAGTTACAGGATGTTGCACTTCAGGCAGATATGAAGTTTGTTGAAGCGGTTTAAATGCAGTGTACTCTGTAATTCAGGGCACTGATGGATGGGAATTCACAAGCCCAGTTGGGTAAAATGATCCCTTGTAACCTGTTAGAACTTCGTCAGCAAAGGAGTAGATGATGGAATATGAATTGTTTGCTTACACTTCAAGAAAATTTTACAACCAGTTTCCTAAGCACAATTTCTATTTCTGGGTGTCTCCCACCATCTCCTGCATGCATTGAATCACCTGTAGCTCCAGACAAAACACATCTTGCAGGCTTGTGCGGGTGTTTACCAGTGCTAAGAAAGAGACTGGGTGGATTTGTCTAAGAGGAGCCAATTGGCTATTCCTGTGTGCTGCATTGGCCAAGAGCTGCCTTTCTCACCCACTTCCTACTTTGTTAAATAACCAGTGGTAAGCTGTGGGATTTGGAATAAGGGTTCAGGCTGCTGGTGACTTCTGCAGTGGGAATGCCCTTTAGGGGAAGGGCAAGTATAGTGCATGGGAGGCTTGTTTGGTGGGCTTTATTTTAGGGTAGGCTTTTTTTAGTCCTGATATTACTGAAACTGTTTGAAAGAAACAAAACCAAAGTAGTATTCAAGGTAACAAATAAAGAAATGGTATATCTTAGGTTTAAACTGTTGATTGTTAGCTGTTGGGCTGTCATTATAACAGTGTTTGACAGTGGAAATGGAAACTGTGACGTTCATGGTAATATTTCAGAACAACTACAGTCAAATGCACAGGAAAACGTGAAGTAGTAAACAGGTGAATAGCACCCTCTACTTGCTGAACACTTGGTGAGTTTTCTGCTTGCACCTGTGCAAAAATGCTGAACTAGAAAATGAGGCTCTTCAAGTGAGTAATTTGTAGTGTAGAGAACTTGGAATCATCTGTACTCCTTGTAGGAATCAAAGGCTAGAACTTGATTAAAGCTTTAAAAAATGTTCATTACTTTTCAGCTTCTTCATGAGCTTTAGCTGTTGGAACACTCAGAGTCCTCAAGATGAAATTATTACGTTATTGATAGCATATTATTTTAAAATCCTGCATGTTAAAACATAGCTTATGTGGTTAAGATCTACAAGACAATTGCTGAAAATGTGTTTGATAGAATTTATTTTTAATAGAAGAATCTAAAATATGTTAGTATACTGTAAACAACTATTACCTTTAAACTTGGAGCTCATTTTCCTGTAATGCAATATGGAAGACTACTTCTGAGAGGATCTCCTTTGCCCTCTCATCTCTGCTCTTGTAGAAGTTCCATGTTTTCTGCACTTGCATGTGCATTTAACTAAAAACAAACCTGCAAGTAATATCATGCAGAGAAATGCAAAAATGTTGTTAAAGAGGCTGTAACATTTATTCATACTTGTTTTTCGAAAAGTTAGCGGTCAAGGTTTTTTCAGAACAACCTTTTAGTCTAAATATTCTTAATGCTTGAAGGAAACTTTTTTGTGTGTTTTCTTATTCCACCACTTTTACTCGTTTAGTTTAAGTAGTTACTAATAAATTAAGGATTTTTTTAAAAGTCTTGCTGTTGAATTTTATAAACCACTTAAAATATATGTTGAAGCATGTGATGACCCCCAGTTTATGACATAGGAACCAAACAAAAATGGCCACAAGCCGCAGTGTATGCTGTTGACCCAAGTCCAGCAGAAAGTGTCCAGTAAACATGATTGAACTGAAAATCAGTATAGAAAGGTAGTGATTCAAATGTATTGCTGATACAGCATCAAGAAAAGGAGGCTAAACTGGTGGGTCACTGCAACATTATGTGGTAGATACTTAAAAGAGAGCACACCTGATTGAACTGTGCATGTAAATACATGCATAAATTTATATCAGGTTAAAAAATGAATCTCTAACTAAAGACTTGTTCCTACATAGCTATTTAAATGTGAATATTACAGCATTATTTCTATGTCAATTTACATACTAAAGGCTATTTTCACACCTAAAGTGACAGTAATGTTTAAAAACAACTGTAACAGGAAAGCCAAAACGTATATATTTTGTTGTTGTAGCAATGTTTAAAATTTAGGAAATAGTTACAAACATTAACTATTTTTTCCTTCTAATGCTGCTGTTTTACAAAAGCCATCTTCTTCTGAAGAAATAAAAATGCTTTATTTTTGCTTATTTTCAAACTTACTTTGTAATGCCTTTAGTAAGCATTTGTTCTTGATATGTTGCTGGTTTTGCAAGCATCTTTTATATTTGGCACAAATGAGACTAGTCCAAATGTTTTAAATGTATGTTTATGGTATAATTATGTATTGTATTGTTGGAGGAAAAAAAAAACCACGAGCCAGTAGCTTTCTATATTGGTAATTGCAATGTGGTGATAAGCTTTTTAAAAAGTTCGTCATCATAATTTTACCTAGGGGTTAAAATTATATGCTCTCTCCAAGTTTTCTACAGTTGATGTCTTAATGGGTTATTTCTAGGCTACCAAATATAACGTGTATATAACCAGTTGCATTGTTTTGCAAATTCTGCTTTGTTCTAATTTCCTTTTTTCTTTGTAAATGGATAGCCTTGTTCATGCTGGTTTTTTTTTCCCCCATCTCATTTTAGCAATGCAATTATGGAAAAAAAAAAAAAGCAAAACCAAAGACTTGTACCTTAGTACTAGCATATGTTCACAAAAGGGTACTTGAAATTTCCATTGATGGTGTTAAATCTGTTTTTTTTTCCAGTTGTACTGTGTTAATTGTATATGATAAGATAATTAAAACAATGGTAAGGGAATTAGTGCAGATGAACATAGTTTTTTCTTTTGTCATCAGGTACAGCACAGGGCTTGAGTATTTTAATTTAATTGCTAGGAAATTATTGATGAAAATCAATAAATAAAGTTGATGAAATCTGTTGGTTGCTGCTCCCTTTGGCATTATAGAAGTGTTTGGGCTTAAATAAGGTTCTTACCTCTAATGCATCACAGGGCAGAATAATTCAAAAATATTTCAAAACACTATTAGAACTATAGACTGCAAATGGCTGCTTCATCAGCCTGTCACTGGCTGGCAGTCTGCCTGGGATGGACAAACAGCTATTTGTGAATTGACCTAAACCATGTGTTGGACAGTGTAAGCTGAGATACCTGCTATGGTAAGGACTCAGAAGCCTTCAACGACAAAGCTGGGTAATCTTGCTCAAAACAACCCCCCAAAAAAAAAGACCAAGATGGTTTAAAATATAGATTTAAGTAATGGAAATTAAGTTAACTGTCTTTAGTATGATGGAAGCCTTTTGGAACTGTATGCTTGTTCTTAGTATTTTTGTCTTTAAGTTTGGTGATGGTTTTGCATATTTTGGCTGCAAATAATCAGTGCCTCTAGAAAAAAAGTAAAGATTAAAAGGTTAAAAATTACAAAATTCATTTTTTACTTTTTACATCCGGTCAATTTCTTTAATGTTTTAATTAAAATTTATAAGAATTTTATTAAGGAATAAAATCAGATATATTCCTCGTGTATATAAAGGACATAAATAGGGCTATCTTTCTTTCCCCTCAGGTGATTTTTAGCATTTGAGCTGCAGTTTTACCCTTGTGATTTTTTGGGACTTGCTGGCTCAGGCTTGTGGTTTTAGACAGGTTTTGAGACATGCTGATCTCATGCAAGCCTAGTCAGTGAGGTCTTTGAGTAAAGACTTCTTGTCATGGTAGTGTAGGTGTTTAAGGACATACCTAAGCAGTTATCCTTTAGTGTCATTGCTGATTCTTTCTGTTTCTCCTTGCTCTGATTAATTTCAGAATTTATGGCTGTCATTATAGGGGTGAAGAACATCCTTTCATGGTTCCAGTTCGCATAATTGATATTCAGTTCTTGTGGCTGTGAAATAATTTATTCTTAAACTGTACACTGGAAATTCTTAACTAGAAAAGCAATATTTACAAGTTGAAGTATACTCTGTTATTGCTCATCCATTTTAGAATGGGTACTGAAGGAAATGAAGCTTTTAAAATTATGTAATATTACTATTCCTTCCTGATTTAAAAAAACAAACATACATAATGGCCAATATTCGCAAAAATCAATACGTTCTGACATAGCTACCTGGACAGCTTCATGAGGAGAGAGAGGCTGTTCGTGGCCCTTGTTTGGGCAGTGTACATGTGCTGCAAGGCACACATTCAAATCAGATGAAAACAACAGCAAGAAAGGAAAACTCAGTGAGATGAGTCAGACACTGTTGCAGGTTCTGCAGGGTTGATGTGTATCCTATATCCTTGAAAGAAAGTTGGGAAGTGTCTTTTTTTTTTTTTTTTCCCAATGAGTAATTTGATGATTTCTTATTCTCTTAGAATGATGAGAATGTGTCACTCGAGGACATAACTCTCTCAATTCCATCCAGTCCAGAACCACAAGAACCTGAGACAACTTACAGTAAGGTAAATGACACTGATTTACTCTCCAGAATAGATACAAACTTGCTTGTAAGAGGAAAATTAATTTTTATCACTGAAGTAGTGTTTTTTGCATCTATTCAAATCTATTTTGTCAAATCAAATTTTGTTCAAATGAAAGAATTTATTTTACCTTCTGAAATACTGACTAATATAAGTACAGTTTAAATACTAACTTTTGATACTTGTAGCAGTTATGGCAGACTAAACTGTAGAGTAACATCTTTCAAGATTTTTCTCAATTTGGTAACTGTTAGAATTTAAAAAGACAATTTTTGCTGATGACAATTTTTGCTTTGAAGTATAATCATACCATAATTTTTGTTACATGCTGTATTTCATGAGACTTTTTGTTGACTTCTGCTCCAGTTTAAACTATCATTCCTCTAATGCAAGTTTTTCCTGAAATACTGCAGGTATAGCAAACGTAAGAACTTAAAAATTAACAGAATTAACCCCACAAAATCGAAGTTGTACTTACTGTTTTAGAATGGGTATTGAAGAGAGAAGCAATCACAATGGTTATTCCAGAAAGGATCATCTTTTATGGTCACAGGATTGTGCTTTCTACAGTGTTGAAGTTTTATGGAATTACTGGAGGCTCTTACTGTAAAGTCAATACAGAAAGATCACTAATCCTATACTACAGTAGGAGAATAATACTTGTTGAGGAAATAATGAAGTTGAAAATACATTTTGAAAGGGAAGAACACTTACAATCTGATTTCTGTTTGAAAGTCACTTGTCCAAATCCTGATTTCAGGGTTTAAGAGGTTTGCCAAAACCATAGATCTACATGTATATCCGTGATCCTTTAACAATCCTGATTTCTACATTATTAACACTTCTTTTAGGACTTATTTTCTCTTGAATTGTTTGTCTGATACATTAGTTGAGCTTGTACTTCAACAGTCGTCTCCCTCACAATCTTAGTTTTAAATTCTAAAGAAAAATATGTTGGTTTTTAACTTCATAGCAAAAAACAAAAGCTAGGTTTAGCTGACACTTCGAATTGTCATTTCCTTAATTGAAGTTAGCATATGGTTTAGAAAAACTGCATAAGAAATCCAACTGAATGCTGTCCTAAAGCAGTAACTAATAACATCTAGTGAAAATGAAAGAGAAGATGAATGCTACTGAATGAAAGAACACCCTTCAATGTATGGCCTAGCTATAATGTTATAATGGCATAGCTGTGAAGTACGTTAAAATTACCATGTGATGAGAATTTTTTTAAAATAAAAATTGCATATTTATATATATATTTTTTAAGATTTCTGAAATTTGCATGGCTTAAAGTTGTTAGTTTCTAGTAGGATGAATTTAAATCAATTCTGCTGTTTGCAATCTGGGGGCCCCAGAGCTGAATGCAGTACTCCAAGTGGGGTCTCATCAGAGTGGGACAGAGAATCATGTCCATCAACCTGCTGGCCACGCTGTTTTTGATACAGCCCAGGATGCAATTGACTTTCTTGCCTGCAAGTACACATGGCCAGCTCATGTTTGGGCTTTCATTCACCAATATCCCCAAGTCTTCCTCAGCAGGGCTGCTCTCTATCTACTCATTACACAGCCTGTTACTGATGTTTGAGATTGCCCTGACCAAGTGCAGGACCTTATGTCTAGCATTGTTGAACTTCATGAGGTTTACATGAGCCAACCTCTCAAGCCTGTCAAAGTTCCTCTGGATGGCATCCCTTCCATTCAAAGTGTCAACACCACCACACAGCCTGGTGTTGCTGGCAAACGTGCTGAGGGTGCTCTCAATCCCACTGACCATGTCGACAACCAAGATGTTAAATAATATCAGTCCAAATATTTCTAATGTTACTAACAGAAATACTACTAGAGGCAGTATTTAATGGTTACATTTTTTTTTTGACACTCCATGACACCAGTTTCTTGAATGACAGATGAATCTGTATTGAAATTGCAGCTGGTTTACTTACACGTTGTGAATGTAGGGGGTTGGTTAAACTCTATTTTAGAGACTTCTAGTCAAATTTTTTTGTTCTTAGTTGCATTTATCGGCCCGCTTCACCAGGTGAAAAAAATAAGGAAAGCATGTACTAATATTACTGCTGGGACACCATGAACACCTAAAGGAGCATGTCCTGTAAAGGTGTAGAGTTATGTTGTACAGCCCATATGGAAAACTTTGTATTGTCCAATGTTCTGTTGCAGACAGAAGATCTGGTGAATGAGATCAGGAAGCTTAAAGATGAACTGAAGAAAAAGGATGAAACAATCAACCAATTAGAGCATCAACTTGTAAGTACAATGTTAAATTCTTAATAAAATTCCAAGTATGTACTGCAGAGTGCAAGTTTAATAGGTAATTCTTACAAAGAATTTAAGAGAGCGAAACTTGTGACTTTGACTATTTTTGTGGGGATCTTTAATTCAGTAGGGCCAGTCATGATTTTTTGTTTAATATTAAGTTGACCAAAGAAAAGTTATGTCTCTGAAATTAGGGGATGCTTATAAATTGTGTCCAGATAAACACAGACTCTCAGGCAAAATTATTTTATGCCTCTTCACTTTTTGTTCCTGTTCAAAGTAAACTTTGAGTTTTGCCGTATATATTTCTGCATTTGGTTCTGCCAAACTAGTCTGGTATGACAATTCTTGCAAAATAATCCCATGTTCTCAAGCCATTTTCTGAAGCTATTTTAGATAAATTGCTTTTTGTATTTACTTGAAACTCATTGATTGATCTTGTCTCAACCAAGATCACAAAGTAGCATGGAGGGGAGGGTATGATGTCACTTAAATGCATTACGTGCTTTAGAAGAGCATTATAGATAGATTTCTTTGGGAATAACTCTGTGATTTCCTGTGCAGTCCATGCCATATTCCATGGCTAATGAGACTATTTTTAACTGCTTTCATAACCCTTTTTAAATTAATGGTAGTGAAACTTAATTCACACTATAGGATATGTTACTGGATATGAAATTTCATTTTATAATAAGTTTCATAACAGTCCCCATGCACCTTCCTTTTGTTAAATGGTAGTAACATTCATGTTTCAATTTTGTCTTGATATATACTGAGTAAAGCTTTTGAACATACTGTTACCTACCTGTTCATCTTGATTAATTGCAGATATTTGCAAGTACTGCATTTTTTTTTTTGCATATGGATGATGGACATCTTTCACGTACTCTCCTGAGAGGGAGACATAGTCCTGGAGAATTAATTGTTAGATAAGCAATTAACACTAGGCCAATACTCTATTTGTATCAATACAAAATAAACATGGTATTGACGTCTGGGCCTCAATGGTGCTTTTCAAGAATATCACCTAGTTTTTTTCTAATAAATTCTCCTTTCTCTTCGGGGGTTAAGGCCACTAGATGTAACTGCCAGAGAGACAACCAAAAATCTTCAGGGGTAACGTCTGTGTGCGCTGATAAGTTTACGCAAACCTCTTGGAGAAGGAGTTCTGTGAGTAAAACTTCCCATTCCTTCTTGGTTATTACTTTGTTTCACTCCCCAATTTTATTTTAAATTTTATTACACAAGTTGGCTGGCCTTATTTAAGAGATTATACTCTTAAATGAGTGTTTTCTTCATACATCCTTACTGCTGTGCCTACTGTACACATTCTTTTGCTGACCTTTTCTTATAAGTTTGTAATAAACTTTTATTTTAAAATACATAATAAAATTTTAGAATTCTGTGCTTAATCATACTTTGCACTACTGACATTACAGGCAGCCCAAGCTGTATATCTAAGCATACATTAAGACATTTTCCTATCTGATTTTCAAGTCATAGGTATTCATATCTGTTTTTCGTTGTTGAAGTTTCATTGCTGCTGTGCACATGTTTGAAGAAAAGTACTTGTATTCTAACTCTCAGTCCCTAAGTGTAAAAAACAACAGCAACAACAGCTAAGTTAGTTTTTTTTTCTTCCAATCATTTATTTGAAGAGTTTAGCTTAAACAAAAAAATATTGGGTGAAAATCACTTTGACCAAGGACGTGTTCATTCCCATATGTTGTTGCATGATCATATTTGCTTGTGTTATACAACATTGTTAAATTCTTCAAGGATCAGTAATAGAATACTTAAGATGATGTGAGGGGAGGCAACACTTTTAAATAATAAGGAAATGTCTTTGAACAAGGCTTTTATCAGTCACCAGCAAATAGTCTTCAGATCATAATCTTGCAGCTACTGCTTCTAGAGAGAATCCTGAGAGATCTATTTGGAGGATGAAAAATGGATTAGAATTCTTGTTTCCTTTTACCCTGTCCCTAGTTATTTGATGTCAGATCATAGTAAAGATGAATTGCCCCTGCCAGCCCTCTAAAACTATTCTTTTAACTATCTAGTGCTAGGACAGAAGTATGATTAGCAGTTGATAGCGAACACTTTTTTTTTTTCCTGTTGAGACCTAGCTCTTCAACATTTTCTCTAGAAAGCACACGAAGTAAAGAGAACATAATCCTAACTGTCTCTTAGTTTGCTCTGGCACTTCTGTTCCACTAAGTAAAAGTGATGTCCTTGATGTTTGTTCCATTCTGTTATCCTGTGTCTTTGGTTCTCTTGTACTATTTCTTTTTCCTAGGTTTTAATTTAATCTGTGACATTCATATAACGTTTTTCTACACTGATACTGTGCCTAAATTAGTGGTTACTGTTGGTGGTCCTTTTCTTCCAATCTCAGTTTCAGTGTAAATTCAGAGACAGATTAGTAACTGTTAAAAGTTAACTGCGAGCTGCAGAAGCTTCAGTTTGAGCAACCTGTATTACTAATTTGTAAGACAAAGATATTGGAGGAGATGGAGAACAGGAGGAAGCTAAGACATTAAATCTCAGGTTAAGGATTCATTTAACCCCATTATCTCTTTCTTCAAGATGAAGTACACTCCTTTGAACTTATTCAGTACTTTTGCTTGAGAATACACTATTTATTGTCATACGGAAATTAATTCAGGTTAAGGGAGAATATCTTTTTAAATAAAAAAGGGCTTATAGCTTTGTTCCTGGTTGGGTGTGTTTTTATGTATGTATATGTATACACATAATAAACCTCTCAGTATTTTTATCTTTACATGTGAAATTTCTCAAGACCATTGATAGTGGAACTGGAAAATGCGAAGTATGGACAAATGTTCAAAACAAACTGCTTTTCAGGAACCGTTATTTGTAAATAATAGCAAAAAACATTTTTGGGCAAAATGCTTACACAATGGCTCCATGAAACTTAAAAGCAAATAAGGAGACATTAAAAACAAACCCCAAAACAAACAAATTGGTAGTAGCTTAAGGCAGGACTTCTTAAAGGGCAGCAGTTTTGCTGCTGTAGCCAAGTTCCAGTTCTAATAATCAGACCTCAGTTTTCTGGTTTAATAGTTCCTCTGCTGTATGCTTTATTGCATGGTTTAATATAATCAGAATAAATGTAGATAAAGCCTGGACATGAAGTCATTGTCAATCTGGAACCCAATAACAAAATGTCACTTGCAGTGGAAAGCAGAAGTAAGCTACGTTTTCTTGAGGGATCTACTTTATTCTAACAGTTTACAAATTCTAGTAGAACTGATAACTGTGTGTTAATTTGTGAAGCATAAATAAGTCCTTGAACATGCTAAGTAACGTTTTCAAGAAATGCTTCCAGAAATGTGCTTAAACTTTGTTAATGTAGTGGTATATAACAAATAGTTGCTGGAATAAGCTAGAGAATAGTGAGAGTGGAAATCAGCTATTAAAAGATCTCAGAAACTTAAGACCATGTTAATTGCAGTAATTTATTGCAACTTTATTCTCTACTTAAAATAGCTGATATTCATGATTGCTTATGGTTTTCCTAGTGAATAGACACGTAAGTATCACTAAATGTATTCTTTCAAAAATTTTGTATTATCAGTTCGTTTCTTTATTACCAGATACAGATCTACAAAATGGCTGATGTTGATGCGAAAATAAATTTGGGGTTATTCTTAATAGAGACTGCATTTTTTTTTCAAAGTACTTCTACGGGGGGCAAGGGTTATATTTAAAGGTAAATATGTACATAACTATGAACTGTGTAACTTCAGGTTAATTCTTCAAACCTGTTTTGAAATGTTTTGAAAACTGGGCATATTAAAATTTAATAGCTACTTATTGCCCGGTCACACTCCGGTTGTTACATAGTACATCTTGTGTCCTGCAAGTATGCTAAAAACGATAATTTAGAGGCAACCATTCTTTCTGGTTAGCCATCCTCAGAATAAAGTCTTGTGCAGGTATTGACTGCTGGGGTAGAGCATGACATGTCTAGATGGCTTTTATATGCGTCTCTTAAAGTGAATTCACTTCTAGTCAATATATTCCTTCTGTTTAACTATCGTGAGAATAATAAAAGTAAAAACTTGATGGAAGTCTTGAATACAAAGTTACCTGAGGAATTTAATGTTGATGGAGAAAGCTTACAGGGAGAAAAATATGAGCATCTGTTACCACAATTGTCTTGCGTGTTTTGCAGCATTGTTTGTGTAATGCAAAATAGTGGAAGATACTGAGATTTTAAAGGTACTAACAGGGGTTAGATGTCTTCAATTTCTGTTGTCAAGTTATTTGATGTCTTGAACTAGAAAGGTTGTTTGCAGATGCTGAGAAGTAAAGTACATTAAGCTAACTATAAACTCCTGAATTTGGATGAACATGCCTGTAAAAAATTCTGGCCCTGAGGTCCAGTTCCTTAGCAGAACATGATTCAAGTGCTCTCCTGTGCCTTGAAACAGTAAATAGAAACAGTAAGAGCTGACTTTCTCCCCTGTCTCAGAGTAGCAAGTGGTGATGAGATTTATTTTGCTTCTTGAAGGTTATATATAATTTCACTCTTGTCTCTGGTAAAACAATAGAAAAACTCAGTGTGCACAGGAGCATGCGTATTCTTGTTCTTTGCTACACCTCTTTTCTACTTCTGTGCTCAGATAATCTTTACCTTCCATTAGTGTAGTGTTCCAGCTGCTTGTTCACATCAATTGTTTTGGTGAACCTTCATAATGCTTTGGTTGTCTTTGTATTGTTGTCTTTTGAGTATTTTCTTCCCTGAGCTTCTGTATGCTTTGACTCTGCAACTCTAAATTTCCAGGTATTGAAGCCTAGTTGCTATGTCAGTATTTATCTTCACATCTGATGTAAGTTTCTCCCATTGTCCAGCACTTCTCAGCTGTGCTGTTCACTTGCTGATCTGTTTTAATATACTAAAAAAAAATACCACTAATGCATGTACTTTCTTGGCAACACGGTACCATGACTGGACTAGATATTCTTGTTGTGCATCTGCTTCTTGCTTTGTTGCAGTGATGCTGCATGACGTGTAGGCATGTGCAGAGCAGAAGTCCTTTAAATCTTACACAGCGGTTCTTGTTTGTTCAGTCTAAAACCAGCACATAAAACTTGATGTTCTATACTTACAAAAATACCATTGCATGGCGGAGCTGCTCATTTACAATCTTCCTGGGTGGTAGGCTAGCAAAAGGAAGCAGCTGCAAAAACATTTTGTTTTCATTGATACTTGGAGTATGTCATCGTAAATTTGTTCATGAGGTAGTGCTCTAAGTTTGTATGCGGCAGCTGGCAATGCTAGGTGAGACAGCAAATATAGACATGTGGATAAAAGTGGCTTTTTCCTGCATTTATTTCTGTAACAGGAAAGACATTTTAAAGCAAAGCAGGAGTGGTTTTGGATATCGGTGTATCCTTAGAAAAATAGCTGCAATGTTTGGCTGTTGGTCTAAGATTACTATGCAGCAGTACGTTAGTACTATTTCTCTTGTCCTGCTCTGGCAAAAGCAATTGCTTTTATTCACGTGATTGCTTATTCTAAGGTTGAGGTCTTTTCCTAGCAATGGAAAGCTCTGGCCTTCATATCTTTGTAGTTGTGTTTTTCTAAAAACGAATCCTCCTGGTCTCCACCAGGTTTTGCAGTGCAGTGAAGGTCAAAACTTCAGGGTCAAACGTTTTAGCTGCAATTGTACAATTCCTCAGGTTCTGTGAAAAACATTCATCACTTTGTTCTGGTTTGTAGGCTGCTTGATCTCAATTGCTCTCGTTTTTCCACACTTTCCCTGAGTATTTTGCCTGGTACTAAATTCTGAATCACTTTCCTGTTGGGATGTTTTTGTTGTTTCACAATTTCAGTATCTGGGAAATGAGAGGAGTGGGACTTCAGTTTAGGGCCCAGATGCACGTAACAGCTGAGGGGAGGAACTGCGGAGACTGCTGTCTAACATTAAAGTGCAAGAGTAAAGATCTGCATCACGCTAAGCTTCAAGACCCAGAAGAATATTATTGGGTTTTTCACTTTTGCATAATTCATTTTTTTTAAATAAACACTTATCTAAGTAGTGTTCTCATCTTTCAATTCTACCATTGTTTGCTTATTATAGTTAGAGGCTCTTTAATAGTCAAGCAAAAAAAGATTGTTTCTCACATTTCTTCCCTAT